CGCCATCTGGAGGGGACACGCCCGTCGGTGCCGAAATCCCCCCTGTAATTCCAGGCACTGGCCGCACTCCGAGTACTTTCGCTTTCCCATCTCTAGCCGAGACGCTCGGCGTTCCCCACTCCGTCCCCGCCCGCCCCGCCCGAGGGTGCACTGAGCACCTATGTGTGTATCTGGGGTGGGAATCAGGGTCTCCCCTTGGAGGCCAGGGGAAGCCCAGACAAGCCTGCCCATGGCACACGCATCCCTACAGGATGCACTTCGGCCAAGGAAGAGCGCCCAGCCAACACCCGCCTCGGAGGCTGGGCGACTTGCTCACAAACCGAGGTGCCTGCGCCCCTCGGCTGGAGCCGGAAGTCAGCACTTATTAGGTGCCACCTCCCAGGGAGCGTGGGAGGGTTCAGTGGGCCCCTTGGGAGGAAGAGGAGTCAGAGCAGGTGTAGGGGCAAGGCTCTGGGCATGAAGTGGCACCAAATGAGCATCCATTAGTCTCCTGTGGTATGCACCTCTGGGAAGGCAGGATTGAGGTCAGGGACCAGAAATGTGCTTGCCTTGAGTCCTAGCCGTAGACGGTTCCCCTGGGCCAGAGGTTTCACCTCAGCTGGAGAAAAGCGAGAGCTGTGCATGCATTAATTGCCTGCGGTATACACGTCTGTCCCATCTGTTCTGCAGCCAAGCAGACTTAAGGGCGCAGTAAAGCCTTAGAGTCGAGAGTGCGCTCAGGATGGAGCACTTACTATTTGCATCTCTCTTTCTGCAAGAGAACCAAGCAGAGCTACAACTTGCTTCATCCCCCTTCCTCCCGCACAGGCCGGTTACCTGTGCCCACGGGTGCCCCTTGGAAAGCCCCCCTCACCACCTGTCAACGTGAGTCTCTACTACGAGGCACTGTGCGGTGGCTGCAGGCTCTTCCTGGTCCGAGAGCTGTTCCCCACGTGGCTGATGGTCTATGAGATTCTCAATGTCACTCTGGTGCCCTATGGAAACGCCAAGGTACATGGGCGCCGGGGAAGCTGAGGCCGTGGCCAGGATTGGGAGACACCTGTGGCGAGCTGGCCGGTACTCACCTCACTGCCTTTCAGGAACAGAATGTCAGTGGCAAGTGGGAGTTTGAATGCCAGCATGGAGAGGAGGAGTGCAAGTGGAACAAGGTGGAGGTGAGCAGCCCCAGAGCCCCATGTGGGGCACACGGAGGCCGGGGAGGCTTCAGGCGGTAATGAGGGTAAAATCCAGGCTCAGAGGGGATTGGAACCAGCTCTCTCCCCTGCCGATGTGTCTCCACTCATTGCTTTGTTAATGGGTGCCCATGGTTATTACCAGAGTGGTCTTGGCGTGCTCTGGGCCCTTCTCATGCCTTTGTCTGCCCACCCCTAGGCCTGCCTGTTGGACCAGCTGGAGTGGAGCGCAGCCTTCCTAACCATTGTCTGCTTAGAGGAATTGGATGACATGGAGAGCAATCTGAAGCCAGTGAGTGATACTCTTACTTGGCCTGGGTTGGGGGACCCTGGCCTTCCCTATACTCAGACCCAGGTTCAAGTCCTGTCCCCAACAGCCACTCTCTGTATGGCCCCAGGGAAATGCTCTTTCCTCTCTAAGCCTCTATCTGTGAATCAAGGGAAGGAAGATCTTCTGGGGCATGGGTAGGCGAGGGAGTGCTTTCTCTCGGAGGAGCCTCTGAGCTGGGCTTCCATGAAGAAGAATGTGCAGGGACACAGATGATGACCTTCCTCTGGGGTATGGGGGTGACAAGACGGGCCCGTCCACCTCCCTGGAAGATTACGAAAAAGAGCTCCCAAAGGAATGACTCATCTGCCCTGATCAATTATTCATTCATCAAATATTCAGGCCGCCCAGGAGGACTCACCCTGAGACACCCCAGCCCTGTGGAACCGTACTGGGGCTAGCAGAGTACAGAGGAGGGAGCCCTGAGGAGATGCCAAGGAAGCTGGGGGATGGGTGTTCCTGGTAGAGGGAACAGCACAGATAAAAGCTCTGAGGAAAATGTAGGAGTCAGGGGCTGAAGGTCTGGTCATAGTGGACTCAGGAGCAGCCTAAGCTCTGCCTCAGGGGCCTCCACTCAGGCATGTATGAAGCACCTGCTGTTTACATGCATTGTTACATTGTTGTGGACCCAACTATCCCTTATTGCCAGTGAGGAAACAGAAACTTGGCTTGGGGGGCCCCTAGGGGGACTGTTGGGGAGATAACAAGGAGATAGCTAAGGCTCACTGGCCCTCCTCTGCCCTCAGTGCCTGCAGATCTATGCCCCGAAGGTGTCCCCAGATGCCATCATGGACTGTGCAATGGGGGACCGTGGCACACAGCTCTTGCACATGAATGCCCAACTTACAGACGCTCTGGAGCCGCCCCATGAGTATGTGCCTTGGGTCGTCGTCAATGGGGTAAGAATCTAGTGGCCCTCAGGTTGGCCCTCGGGCAGGGACCAGGGTGATGGATGT